ATATATATATATATATATATATATATATATATATATATATATATATAGAGAGAGAGAGAGAGAGAGAGGTGTGTCTGTGTATATAAGTGTCTGTGTGAGTGTGTATATATGTATATGTTTTTCAGTTAGTCAAGGAACCTTTGGATCTATCTTTAGAAGCGATCAGTTTATCTGAATAGGGTGTGTGGGAGCAGGGACCCCTCTAAAACCTGCAGGACAGCGGCCCTCAAGGCCCGGAGTTGCCCACCCCTGCAATTGATAAACCATTTCTTTCTAATTTCAGCAGAATTAGACTTTAACTGTTGCCGCTTTCCTACCTGGTTCAGGAGTTTCAGAGTTTGATGATGATGAAGCAGAAGATGCCCCATCTTCATTTATGGTTCCTTGAGACAGAGATATTGCTCTGCTGGGAGGAAGCTTCATGCCAAGCTGCTCTGCCATTTCCACATGATCACTGGGATGTATATAGTCAAATGCACTGCTACCAGTCAGTTCCACCTGTAGAAATAACAAGAAACAATAATGTTAGTCTCCCTTTCAGTCTTGGTTCGTTTTTCTTTATTCCACTTATATATATATTTGTCCTGTTCTTTCTTCATCTGTGTTCTCTAAAAAAGTTGAATACAGAGAGTTTCGCAATATCCTACATTTGAGTATTTTGCCAAGGACACACATTTAAAGCAGGGGTGTTCAAAGTCAGTCTTCAAAACACCCGATTCCTGTCAATGAACCATTAGCAGGCTTCTGCCAGTACTTGAGCAAAGCTTAATCTTTTGAATAGATCAATCTAATCAGAATCGGGAATTAATTTATATAATTAATTTCTATTCTACAATGATGGAAGAGCAAAAGAACAATGTCATGATCAATTTCAGCACTGTGTTCAGACTGGGAATCCCATATGTTGAGCAACTTCTTTGCTGGCAGTATTTAGGATTCATTTCCAGTCTTCTTCTCACCTTACATGCACGTTATTGTATTGATTGATTTAACATTGTATGCTATAACATAATCCATTGAAATAACTGATTGTCTTATTCCTTTAAGAACTATACTTTTGTGTTAAATTCTCTGGCTGTGCCCACAGATTCTCTTTTTCTCTCTCTGTTGCATTAAACACGGGTCTCAAGGTCAACATACACACACACACACACACTTTGTTACCACATTACAATGCCATCTGCATGAATTAGGAGCTGGCCTCTTCATGTCAGAAGTAACTGGCCAATAAGCACTCGGTTGGTTCCAGAAGATAATTATCCAACACACCCGGATTTCAAGGCTCTTTGCCGACTGAGACCCTCCAGGAGTCTTTGTGAGAGCCCAGCGGTGATATACATTACCTGTGACCCAATAAATGGAATTGTTGTACTCTTGATCTACTCTGGTTTATTCTCTGGTTTCCAACTAAAGAATCCAGCTAACAAATGGTGTCGTGACCCGCATTGGCAAACTCGGAGACTATGTCAGATTGGGGACCACTGGAGTCCATCAGAGGAGACTCTTTTCAAATAATTGAAGGCCGACAATCAAAAGGTAAGCAGAATACCTTTTTTATATGAAAATTCTGCACATTGGGCAGACCAAAACAAATTGTCTGAACATGATCTTTTTGTGAAGGATAAAAAGCCTGTTGCCTGGAAAAGCTAGTTGCCTGGAAAAGCCCATTGCCGAACAGTGCATAAGAATACTGTCCGATGTCAATATATATATATATATATATATGGTTGATATATATGTACATAGAATACAGGTATTACTATTCCTTTAAAGATAAACTCTTTATGAAGACAGGGATAGGTTTGTTATTTTTCATGCAAATGTGCGGTGGTTTCTGTCACGTCTGGTGTCTCGTTATGTCATGATTACCTATTGTGTACACCTGGGGTTCCCCTCCCTCATGTGTTTAAATAGTCCTCGTTTCCCCTTGTCTTGTGCGAGTGCGTTTTCGTCTCTTGTCCGTTGCGTCCTTCTTGTCCGTCTGTCCTTTGTCACCCCCACGCCAGGTTTGCTTTTTTGTCACAGTTTTGCCACAGCTTTGTCACAGTTTTGTTAATCTTTATTTTGTTACTTTGTCACAGTCATAGTTTTCCCACAGTCTTGTTTACTTATTGCTTTGATACTTTTTGCTCACAGTTTTCCACAGCCTTGTTTTGTATCATGTCTGGACTTCCACCCTTTTGTTATAATAAACCCAGTTCTCCGTCATCTCCGCACCTGAGTCCTCCCTCAATGAACCCACCTACATGACAGAACGCACTCGCCAGATTGGACTCAGCGGAGACACCTCGGAGGAGCGGCGGCGACGGTGGCGGCCCCCCCCCCCTTCTGCTCTGAGAGAGCCCATGGGGGGGCTTAGCCACCATGCCCAGGAGGAAGCAGAGGCCGGCTCACCGGTCCGTCCTCCTGCCCGTGAGCGAGCCCCGGGCTCGTTCACGCCCCGCAACACCCTCCGGCCATGGCGGTGAGCGAGCCAGGAGGGCCAGGAGGGCTCGCTCACCTCTCCACACCCTCCGACCATGAGCGAGCCTGGGAGGCTCGCCAAGCCACGTTTTCCTCTCCACGCCCTCATCGTCCCGACGTGCCCATGGCCCAGCCAGGGAGGCTCGCCACGCCTTCGTCATCCCGACGTGGCCGAGCCAGGGAGGCTCGCCACGCCCACGCCCTCGCCATCCCGTCGTGCCCGTGGCCGAGCCAGGGAGGCTCGCCACGCCCTCGTCAACCCGCCGTGCCCGTGGTCGAGCCAGGGAGGCTCGCCACGCCTACGTCATCCCGCCATGCCCGTGGTCGAGCCAGGGAGGCTCACCACGCCCTCGTCAACCCGCCGTGCCCGTGGTCGAGCCAGGGAGGCTCGCCACGCCCATGTCCCTAGCCATGTCCCTAGCCATGTCCCCAGCCACATCCCCAGCCACGTCCCCAGCCACGTCCCCAGCCACGTCCCCAGCCACGTCCCCAGCCATGTCCCCAGCCATTCCAGGACCACGCATCACAAGTCCATGCTGATGTGCGAGCCCTAAGGGGGGCTCGCCAACTCGGACAGGAACCCATGAGCGAGCTAAGGGGCTCGCTCCTCAAGTCCATGCCGGTTAGCGAGCCGGTGGATGCTTGCCCAGCCACCAAGTCAAGTCCCACAGTCTAGTCCCGTTCCATGTCCCGTTTCATGTCCTGCCCCTCGCCATGTCCCTTATCAAGTCCCTCGCCACGCCATGTCCCTCGCCCAAGCCAAGTCCTCAGCCAAGTCCCACAGCCAAGTCAGACGCCATGTTCCACGCATTGTGTTTCTTCCCTCTGTTCCTGATCCCCCCCCACCCTCCCGTGGTCCTCGTGTGTGTTTAGGGCCGTCTGGGAGCCGTCCCTTAAGGGGGGGGCTCTGTCACGTCTGGTGTCTCGTTATGTCATGATTACCTATTGTGTACACCTGGGGTTCCCCTCCCTCATGTGTTTAAATAGTCCTCGTTTCCCCTTGTCTTGTGCGAGTGCGTTTTCGTCTCTTGTCCGTTGCGTCCTTCTTGTCCGTCTGTCCTTCGTCACCCCCACGCCAGGTTTGCTTTTTTGTCACAGCTTTGTCACAGTTTTGTTAATCTTTATTTTGTTACAGTCATAGTTTTGCCACAGTCTTGTTTACTTATTGCTTTGATACTTTTTGCTCACAGTTTTCCACAGCCTTGTTTTGTATCATGTCTGGACTTCCACCCTTTTGTTATAAGAAACCCTGTTCTCCGTCATCTCCGCACCTGAGTCCTCCCTCCATGAACCCACCTACATGACAGTCTCCTGCTTGATAGATATTTTTACTGTGTTTGTGTTAGCGTATTGGACAGTGTAGGATGTTAAAAAATTCTTGCACCAACACAGATCTCAAGTAGTTTTTATGTACGAGGGTTTGGAATAGATTAATAGGGGATGTTCTAGTTAGGGTGCTACAGAATTGGGTGAATTAAAATGAGTGACCCAGACTGGGCTACCCTTAATGTTTGAGCGTGCATGACCATAGAGTGGCCATTCCATAGAAGCTTCTCAAGCAAGTCATCACTTCGGGCATCGTGCCATTCACACTCACAGTGTACACATGTAATATTTTTTATTATGTCACAGAAGACTGTTGAAGGGTGGAAAGTTTGTAAATCTGCTTCCGGTGTTAGCTGAAATACCAGAAAGATGGCTGAGGAAAGTTCCAAAGAATGACACACAGAATAGTGTAGAAAGATTTTGTAGAACAGACAAAAGTAATGCAAAGACAAGGGATGTTTGGACACTGGGAAAGCATTCTTCCTTAGTTTAGTGATTTTCCCACATTCATGAAGCAGACCTCATCCACTTTGGAAGTAGCCACAGCAGCGTTACATGAGGCAGGCCTGCTGAAGGAAGGGAGGAACAGTAAAGTGATAAGACAGGCAGAGGAGTTGTTGATTGACTGTCAATGTTTTCTTAGTGAAGTTAAATTCTCAATACGCTCATTGTCTTCTGTGAAGCCTCAAAGCAACCGTTTTTAATGACCATGCCTCTTCCTAAGACACACATATCCACAGTACCAGACAGGAAAGAAGTTGAACAGACTCTCAACTCTTCCCCTTTAACCTCTCACCCTCTTCCCAATGAAGCTGCGCGTGCGATGTTACAACACAAACATCAGACTTCCCCACCGAACCGCACACTGACAGCACAGAACAAACCTTCCTGATAACACACTCTCAGGTTGAGAATTCTGTGACTGAGACTCTTGAAACACCAACACACATGCACTTGGAATTCTCTCTAGTGCGACCATTCGTTTTCACAGTTTTTTCTTGTTAACTTGTTGGACAGACATTTTGTGTTCCCTAAATGTTTCCTGTTTGTGGCCCCCAACTAGGTTGACATTACATTCCCTGATGGGTCAGTGCACAGATGTGCAACACTGCAAAATGCCATCTCTCAACTGAGACGGAAAACAAAATATACTGGTGACCTTGTGACCCAGACAGCAGGAATTTGGTGGGGAGTGATGGATGATTTCCCTTCCTCCCCACTATTCTCTGCCTTATCTCTATGACATCTTGATGTGGATGAAAAGAACGCCTTTGTGAACGCAGTTCTTTTTCAAAAGGGGGAGAGTAGGAGAACTACAGACAGAAAAGTGTTGATGTACATGGCTTCCTTCATCATTTGACCCTCTTTTGTGACAGACACAGCCTTGATGAATTTGAGCTCACATCAATTGAAAGCTCTGCTAAGTAACTACTTTTTTATCATTACCAGGTGAGAATCAAAAGAAAGTGTGTAACAATAAAATAACACTGATGATTGTTTCTCAACAGGTTACATCTTAACAACCCATAAAAGCTCGCGAGCAAACATCTCCTGTTGGAGCATCAGATCTGGATTCCGTGGAAGATGATGAAACTTGGTTTGTCCAACCCTCGGAGGAAAGTAAATCAAGTTGGAGAGGCTACAATGAGAATCTAAACAACTGGATCCACAGTGAGCATACTTAAGATTCTGCAGAAAGACCCATAACTGAGGTTCATACTTACTTGTGAACCTCACTGTCAGT